CCCCGTGCTTCCCTGAAGCCTCGTGCTGACCGAACCTGACACAGCAGTTCAGAGTTTTTTCCTGAATATATCAGTTCTAGGACATTACAGAAACATGGTTTTAATGATAGGTTATTCTTACTGCATCTCCAACATCACAAAAATATTATTTTTGTTGAATAGCTTAATGTCTATTGAAATTTCTGGTACAGATGTTAAGAAAGTTTCCCATTGTTTAGACAAAATGGGGATCCCCAATTCCTTGTTCCACTTAATCTTTAAATTTTGCATATCAAATTTATTTGTCAATAAACAAGTGCTTTTAAAGATTAACAGTGGGCTTTTTTGTCTCATAAGATTTGGTGATCACTTTAATCATGTAGATGTCTCTAAAGTTGAAAATGCTACTGATTCAAACCGAGATGTCAGTAGATTGTGGTTATAAAGACTGCCAGTGAGTGCCAACAGATAAATTACATTCATCCTCTATCATAGGAAATCAGAAAAACTCATTGTTATCAGCTAGTAATAGATCTACAGTAAAAATCCCAACATCCATCAAAATCTTCCATATAATGCGGGGGGGGGGTACTAATTTTCAGATCTGGTTTACCCCCATGACATGAGAAAATGGATCAAAATGCACAATTTCTGAAAATAGTTTAGCACATTTGTACTAATGCAACAATGACAGGATAATCTAATCTATTATATTTTAAATCCAAAACACTTCAATTAACCAAAGTCATTAGGTGTGAATATTTCAAAAGGGCCCAGGAAAGAGAATTAATATTGAGTGAAGTTATCCAAAATTTGGTTCTAGTAAATACATATTTAGTAGACAATTACATCTTTTTCAAATGTATCTTTAGAACTCAAGAACTCTATAACATTTATGTGGGTTATGTGTGGTGTGGGTTATGTGCTGAATTTCTGAAAACGTTTTCAATTTCTCTCTCTCTTTATACATATTGTGGAATTCCACGCAAACTATAAAGTTTTGCTTTATAAACTGCAAAGTACGCTTTTGCTTTCTTTATTTCTTTTCCTTTTTCCTTTTTCTATTTCTAATCTGCTCTGTTTAATTAAAGGCAAAATGATAATAAATGCTCAGTTGTGTTACTTTCAGTAGTTATTTGATTCTTTTCTTATCTTTTTAAATGTTCTTTTTTCCATTCTGTTGTAGTAGTATTAAGGCAATAAAAATGGAAAAATTGGAGCCCTTGGTGCTCTCTGAGCTTGATTGTTTGCTTGCAGACATTTCATTACCCGGCTAGCTGACATCATCAGTGTGAGGGAGGGTGGGGTTTGCTCCCTCTTTTTATACACTAGCTTTTCTCCTTGGTGGTTCCTTGATTGGGACATTGTTTTCTGCTTGTTTGTATTCTGGTGTTAATCCCTGCTTATCTG